AGCAGGGGGTGGGGGGGTGGGGAACAGTGATTCCATACCACTCCCTTTCTACCCCTGCCCACTCTCGGCACAATCACCATCCCAGGAAATTATCTCTAAAAGAAACATAGCCTTCAGCAAAAATGAAAATAAATAAAAATGTTCCCCATAAATTGCAGCCTAAAGAGTCCTAATCAGTGGTTATGTGGTATATTTATAGGCATCTGACTGCACAAGACAGACTGGTCTCTTCAGAATATGAAGTTCAGGATGGCAAGTCTGGACTTGTCCTGAGGTTCTCTTTCATAGAAGATGCAAGTCGAAACTCGGTAAGCCTGGAGTGAAGCAAGCCCCGTGCCTTGTGCCTTGGAAAGAAACATTCAGATTCAGCCTTCAGAGATGGTGACGTCATTGGAAAAGTGAGTTGGTTAATATCCTTGTTCCCACAGTTGGCCATCAAACTCCCCTTTCTATTCTAAGGAATCCAAGGACGTCTCCATAGAACTGGCTGGCTGTTGCAATGGTAATGTTGGCTTTTTCTTATATGGGTGGCTCTGGTAATATATGGCTTTTTCTACAAACTGCCTCTGTTTGTGCTCCAATGGGTGGACTGAAGGGTGGGGAAGGCATCTGGGAACTGGTTGCGGCTGCCCTATTTGCTCTCTGAACTACATGCTTTGTGGTACTTCGGGTGTTCCTGCTGCAAAGCGCAGGAGATCGGCCAGCTGAACTGGGATGTGTTTCTGAGGGAGCTATCTATGTTTACAACAGGCTCCTTCAAATGCAAAGCATAAATGTGTCAGGCCATTCCCGCATACACAAAACAGAATTTGCTTAATGTACTTTGCCCAAACAAACAAACAAAACCATATTAGGGCTTCAAGTCATGAATTGGTTTATCCAATATACCAAGACCCAGCCTGGGTTCTCAGTCACTCTGAGTCTGTTCTAACAGCCTGTGTGAACTCAGCCATAGCATGTTAAAAAAAATACTACTAATAAAAGCTTGCTATTTAACCTATGCGAAGTAGCATCAAATCGTCTATATGCTCCTAGCTTACCTGTCCCGTAATGAAATGGGTCTTTGCTATTCCTTTTCAGCTTAAAGTCGGACTGAATGAATTTACCCCTTGAGAGTCGGGCATCAAATTGCATGTAGCATTTGGGGACAAAGGAACCAGGGCGTGAGCGTACATCCGCGGGCACACACACAAACATACGCAGGTAAGTCAGAGCCTTCTACGACGAGTTGCTCGCAGGGCGGAGTGGTGGACTGTACCATTTCAGACCGTAAGGGAGCGCGCGCTCTAGCTGGGCAGAAACTAAGCCTGCAACAACCGCACAGCTGAAGTCTGAAGAAACAACGGATTTACTTCTGAGGAAATGTGCCAAGGGAAACGTATGAAGTAGCGCTGACAGAGACAGGTCTTCCTTCACGCAGGGCCCTTTTCACAGCCGCGCTCAGAACCACCGTCCGACAGAAGCGGAAGCAGAAGCAGAAGCCAGAATTCTACGCCGCGTCCCGCGCGCGGGCCCGAGCGGTTCTCAAAACAGACCGAAGGGGAGGAATTCCAGCGTTCCTCGCGGAGTTCGGCAAGCGGGCGCCGGCATTGCAGAGCGCATGCGCCCCCCTCAGTTGGCTGGTTGTTCCCTCAGCTACCAAGCGAGGGCGCTACAGTAGAGCTGCTGAGCACTAAAGCCGGGCCGGCGAGGCGCGAGCCGATTAAATTCCGCGGCTGAGGAGAAGTGTGAACATCCACCCCGCCCTCGCTGTTGTCCTGAAGGGAGGAAAGGCGATCGGTGAAAGAAAACAGCCCAAGAAGGCGGCGAGCTCCTAGAAAAGGAAATTGCCCGAGGGGGACGACCGGCAGGAAAAGAGGAAACCACCGCCTGGGTCGTGAATCCTAGCAGGGCTGGTGTCCGGCGTGCACAAGAGGACGCACCGGCCAGCAGATGCTGCCGCCAGCTCGTGAGCGTTCGCCGTAGAGGTTCCGCTGGGTCGAGCATGGATCGAAGCGGAGACCGCGATCGGGCGAATCAGCTGACCAGCGCTGCTGCCCGCGGGGATCTGGAGTCGGTCGGGAGGCTGCTGGAGAGCGGGGCAGACCCCAACGCCACCAACGCCTTCGGCCGGAGCCCGATCCAGGTGGGAGCTTCTTGGACCGAAAGATCAGAGGTTGACTGGGGAGAGGGGAGGAGGCGGCTGCGCTTTTCGCGGGGGGCTCAGCCCGCTGGGCTTCAGTCGCCTCTTGGCTTTGAGGGTCTACCGTCAAGCCGTGTGGGAGCGAGGCCTGGCCTTCGTGGCGTCTGTTTCCACCTTGGTTGCTCTTACAAAAAAGGCAGTTCTGCACCCTGATCAGGACATCAGACGCCTCGACATTGACTCAGACGTTTCTCCGGCTCAGCGAAACTGATTTGCCCAGGCTAAGCCTAAAGAGCTGCGGCCCAGGAGGGACTCTGAGGAGTCTGTCGAATTCCTCTTTCTCCCCGGCTTAACCCTCTCCCATCTCTCCCTGACACACACACACACGCGCGCGCGCAGTCCCCCGGGAGGAAAGCAACTGCAAAAACAGCGAGAGGTTTAGTTCACCTTACGCGGAGACCTAAACTGTAGTGGGTTACTTTGTAAGTTTGGTGTGTTCTGTAGGGCCCCCAGATCTGGGCTTCAAAAATCCGGATGACCGCGAGAAGGCAGGGATGACATGGAGTTTTTTGTAGCATTTTGCTGCCATTCAATAGTCATCCGGATTTTGGAATTAATTCAGTAACTATTGGGATTTGTGCTGCATCAGAAGCTCTGAAAGCACATTATATGCAGTTCTGAAATAGATGAAGCAGAAGCAGGTTCTGTTTAGGACTGAAAGTTTTTATTTTTATATGGAATTTTATTGTTTGTCTTCTTTTCTTGAGGGTAGACAATGAGACATTTGGTAATGCCAAATCTCTGCTTCAAAATTTAGGAAAAACTTTTGTCTGAGCCTTAAGCAGGGGAGAGACTACATCCACACACTTAAATCAACACTGTTCACGTTATGTATATATTCATTCTCTTATGAATTCAAATAAGAGAACAAAGGGCAAGAATTACAAAGAGCACAAAATATTAAACACTTTTCTGCCCTCACCCATTTTACCAAATAATGTTTAAAAATATTTCACAGGATAGATATACCAATCTGAGCTACTTTAGTCTAATCCATTTTTTGCCATAGCTCAATTGATCAGATTATATTTTAAAAGAGGAATGTGTGCGTGTGCAGTAAAAGAAAGGAAATAAAATAGAGGGGCAAAATGTATATATCAGAAGCCAAAAGCATATATTTAATATTGTCATAGGCCAGAAAAAAAATAGTACATTTTTTTCAAAGGATCATATTGGAGGATAAATTTCCTTCTCAGGGCTGGGTGGGCTGATTTCTTAAATGTGGTTTGAGTTCGAACCTTGTAAAACTCGTGTCGTATTCATCTCCTGTGTAAAACTGCGGCAAGTAGATTTAACATGCGAGCGCATGACAAGGCAAATCGTGGCTCGGAGATGCATGCTGTGACACGTGATCCATAAAAAGTTGAGGAGCCTTAAATGGGGTGGTTGTGTCTGCTTATTGATGCCGATTGGGAACCGAAAGTCGTAGGCTTACTGTTTCTTGTTCAGGTACGCCTGAACTCTGAATAAACAAGATGGGAGCTCCTCAGGTGGAAATAACCTATTAAACTTAAACGGAAATTATTTCCGAGAAATTGTGTGTATGCTGGTCTCTATCCTTCCAAGTTTAATACGTTTCAGGCCTTCACGATTCTACTCCACCTCCGTTTCCCCGATTGTGCTCCATGCTTTAAATTGGACCAAAACACATATACAGGCAATAGATATCGCTCTGCAAAAGATACGGTGCAAAAGATACACAATTACCCCCTCCCGCAAAAAAATAAATAAAATTATGCTGGTTTGATTTTAAGAATTCGAGGCAATCAGAGAAATGTATGCATCCCAAAAGGAATGGAAGAAACACTCCAGTAAGAGTTTTAAATAAAGTTATTCCCCCGAGCAGCTTTCCCCAACTTCAAAGCTTTGAAATGCATTCACGAATTTGCAGCCAAAGGCAGGTTAGGGACGGCGATCTTGGGAGTAACTGCAAGCGGTCTGGGTCTGGAAGAGCTGCTGGCCAGTTATTCAGTTTTTGTTTGTTTTTATTCGGCTGTCGAGGAACAGTGTTCTTGCATCAAGAAATGTATTCCCATTTTCCAATTCCGTTTGTCCGGTAAGCGTAAACTTCACTAGGCGAATTAAATACGTGCCTAAATTTCTCCCTTCGAAGGTAATGGGGCTTAATGCTTCACTTCGATTAGATCGTGTCTCGTATTTTCATCTACATGTTTATATAACGGCCTCGTCGATGTGAATAGACCGTTACCAGATAAACAGCGTACACCGGCAGGATAGACAGAGTACCGAGGATACTGCGAGCAAAACAACACGTGGTTTTGTGAGGCTGTATTTAAAAGCGACGAGTATCATACGTGGAATGGTATCGTGCTGTGCTTGCAGTAAGGCAGGGTGTCCATTGTTTCGCTCCGCGCGTGTAATCCGCTTCAGCCTCTCTTAACTAGTGCCCTCCGAACTCATCGGGCTGTAATTCCAGTTGCCCCCAGTTGGGGTCACCATTTTGGGATTAACCTAGTAGTTCTGCTGAACCTTACACTACGGGGAGGGAGGTCCCGAGAGGAGCCAACATTTCCTTCTTTCCCGTTTCTGCGCGTGGCTTTGCGGCTTTGTTAATGCCCCCTGGCCGGCCGAGTCCGCTTCCTTGCCGTGGTTTCATCGAAGTCCAAGGCTACGCCGCCCGCACGGCCGTCGCGCAGTCCCTCCGTAGGGGGACCAGCGTTCTAACGCTCGGTAAAACGACCGGGTGGCTCGAGTTCAGAGGGGTCTTGGGCGGTTCAGCTTCCCAGCGGTCTTCACAAACCTCTTAACAAAATGTATCTGCCTGCCCGCCCGCCGGCCCTTTGCTCTCTGGGTTTAGAAAGGCTGTAACGTGCCCTTATAACATGCAGTATCTGACTATCCAGACCTTCTGTAGACATGTCATCTTTTATAACATTAAATGTCAACATTTGGTCCTGATAAGGGTGGCTCTGTGCCCAGTCCCATGTCATACTCTACCTGCGGCCAATTAGTCTGATCTTTGTTTACTCATAATGTTCTTGCTGCTTTCTCATCTCTACTCTCCACACCTTTCCATCCAAGCTGTCAAACTGACACCCACTTCTTCACTACACTCTACCCAGTTCTCTTGAAAAGGCCTTCTCCATGATGACAGTTCTGTGGCCACTTATTTTTCCTGTTCTTCTCCTGGATCAGGGACAATTTTTCCCTGAAGTGAAGCAACACATTACAGCACATTAGGCGGCAGAATAATTCACAGTCTCTGGATTACTAGCATTAGAAAAACAACAAAAAAAGAAACAACAGCAAGTGAAATAACTATAACCACTCTTCCATATTAGCAAACCCTAGCAGAATCCAGTGCTTGCTAAGAGGTGTTTTTGTGAACATAAGTAGTCCCCAGGTTAAGAATGCCCGGATTACAGATGACCCATGGTTAAGAACAGAGCCTATTGTAGCAAAATTTGAGTTAAATACACAATGATTTGAGTTAAATACACAATGATTCAAGTTAAATACACAATAGTTCAAGTTCATTACACAATACTACTTATACAGTATTATACAACAATACTGTTCCGGCTTACATACAGATTCAGTGTAAGAACAGACCTTGGGAACGGAACTTGTTCTTAAACTGGGGATTATCTGTATATCCTACACTCCCAACCTATATGCATCACTAAGGGTGGCTAACAACAATTTAAAGCAGGACAAGATTCAATTTATTTAAATGAGAAATAAAAACAAAACTAAAAAATATGTTTACCTAGTAAATACTGTAAAGTAAGAGCAGGTCCAGCTGATAAAGTCTTTAAGTAACATTTTGCATAATCTGTGAAGTGTATGTCCTCCCAAAGAGAACATTTTTGTCCATTCAGTAAAATATCAGCCGGAATGGCCTCTTGAGGCAGGGAGTTCCATAGTTCAGATGGGGCCTCTGAAAAGCTATTTCTTTTGTCACACCAAGAATTCCTCTGCCACAGCTGTGATCCAGAGAAAGGGGTTAGGGAGTGAATAACCTGGGAAGAGGAAGTCCCTAACCCATCTGGCATTACCTATATTCCTTAGGGCTTTAAAGATCATCACCAATACTTTGAATTGTGCTTGAAAGCAGACTGACAGTTTGTACAATCCTTTCAGGATCTGTATTATATGGGGCACGTGCCCATCAACAATTTCTGCATTCTGCATTTTGGAACAATTGTGGTTTCTGAATACTCTGCAGAAGTAACTCCAAATAAAGCATGTTGCAATAATCTGATTAGATAGAACTAGGAGCCTTTCCCACTTGCAGCTAAGCACAGCACAAACATAGTCCGACAACAACTTTTCTTCTGATGTGTCCCCATGACCTTGCCTACATCCCCAACTGTAAATGAGACAAATTTAAGCAGTCCTTGCTATATTGATATTTTCTCCCTTAAGCCAACAAGGATAGGTATGAAATGTGTAAATCCTGTTAGGCTTGTATTGTCGAAGGCTTTGGCTTTGGCTGTTAGGCTTCTTTGCACCCATTACCACGGAGGAGATCAGGTGAGTGCAGTGATGTGAAAGAGAGGGGATGAGTGGATAGTATCTTCACTCAGTAGTGGGGAAAGACTCTAAGGCAGTGTTTCTCAGCCTTGGCAACTTTCAGGTCGGTGGACTTCTACTCCCAGAATTCCCCAGCCAGCCATTCCCCATGCTGGCTAGGGAATTCTGGGAGGT